AATTCTTTTTTTTTTATATCAAAATGCAAAATATTTATCGGGGCAATGTAGTAGCATCTAGCCAAAGAGATGGCGGTTTGAAATCAATTGGCCCACTGACACACATCTACGATTGATAGCAACTAATAATCGAAGTTCATGTGAGGCGTTGGAAAACACCACGACTACCAACGATTCATTACGAAGTTGAAGGTAGTCTTGAGATTCGAAAAGATACCTACCACAAAATATGTTTTACTTTCAGCGCTTGGTGTCGAAAAAAAGTTTCAGTGTCGGAAAAAAAGATATGCCAAATGTTAATCATTTGTTTGGGTAGGTACTGGAAGGTGTGGGCCGATGTTGGCCATTTTCACACCCGATCTAACTCTGTTATAAGGATTTTTAAATGATAATCCTTTCTCTTCCTATGAAGTAAATTATATTCTTTGAAATTTTAATTTATGAAATTATTTTTATCGCAAAGTAAAGCAAAAATTTTCGAACTAAGATTCCTTGGGATAAGTTGATTTTGGGTATATATAGGGTGAGATGAAAAAACTGCATTCAACTTCAGACTGCTGTCATTTCTAAGCCACTCGTCCGACAGCTGGTGAATTTATTCCAGTGACAGCTCATTATATTGTTTACAAACAGAAAAAAAGTTATTCGCAATGAAATTCAAGCGTGATAGTGTGATTTCTTTATATTTGGCTGGAAAACCATCAGTGGCTATCCTTAGAGCACTCTAGCATTTAAATGTGGATAAATCTTTTGTGTCTCGTACCATCGCCCATTACTGTGCGCGGTCAAGGAAGTGGACGGAGGAAAACAGCTACATCAGCAGAAATACTGCGAAAAGTAAAGAAGCGACTTGATCGAAACCCGCGTCGCAGTGGCCGAAAAATGGTTCGTGAGCTGAACACATCGCAATATTCCAATCGGCAAATATTGCAAAATGAGCTCGGGGTAAAGCCATTGAAATTCCCAAAAGTGCAAGAACTTACAAAGGGAAAGAAAATAGACTCAAAAGAGCTAAAGAGTTGCTTCGCTTGGCCGAAAGTGGTGAACTGCCGAATTTGGTTTTCTCCGATGAGAAAGTATAGTCTGTAAATAAACAAAATGATCGTGTTTTCTTGCCAAAGAGGTCAGCTGAAAATGTGCACCTTCGGTTGGCCACCAGAACTAAAGCGCCGGCCATGGTGATGGTGTGGGCCGCCATAATAGCCGATGGTCGCTCTCCGCTCGTATTATTCGACCGTGGCATCAGAATAAATGCCGATTATTATATCGAAAATATTCTGGAGGGTGTATTAAAGCCTTGGGAACGCAAACATTTTGGCCGCAGACCTTGGACATTCCAACAGGACTCAGCGCCATCGCACTCAGTACACGCCACCCAAGAATGGTTACAAAAAAGGACTTCACTTCATTTCCAGCGCACAATGTCCACCAAAATCTCCGAATACCAATCCGTTGGACTATTGTGTCTGGAGTAGTTTGGAAAACAAGGTGGGCACTAAAAAATACCAAAGTGTCGATCACCTCAGGTAAGCCGGAAATAGGCCAAAATATCGCAGAGCAACATTCGTGCAGCGTGTGACGGTTTTATTGGCCATTTGAAGGCCATAATTCGTGCCAAAGGTGACCAATTCGAACAAATCTAAACTAATTCTAAAATTTGATGCTACTTCCGAAAAAAATGTAAAAGTTATGGCGTTTGACTTTGTTGCAGTTTTTTTTATCTAACCCTGTATATATTCTGGATCAGCGTAAAATTCTAAGACGATGTTGTCCTGTCCACCCGTCCTTCTGCCGTCTGTTGTATTCCCGCTAGAATAAAAGAATAAAGATAGGCTAATTAGATAAGAGGCTTTTATTTTATGCAGGCAGATCGCAGTTCGAAGATGGGCTATATAGGTTCACAATATCATATAGCCCCCATATAACGGTCCCCCCGATATTCGGGTGATTGTAATCAAATTTTTCAATGAAATTTTCTGAAAATCCATACTTGAAGTTCTTTTTAAGCACTTTACTCCCTGGAAGAGAAATGTCTATATAGGTCCACGATATCGCATACCTCCATATAACGGTACCTCCCTATATTCGGTATTTTGATGATTTAAGCTACATTTTTCAATGGAATTGTCTAAAAATCCATACTAGAAGTTCTCTCTCAGCACTTTACCGACTGGAAGAGAAATGTCTTTATAGGTCCACTATACCGTATAGTCCACATACAACGGTACCCCCCGATATTCGATATTTTGATGATTTTAGGGGCATTATTCACCAGAGTTGATTCAAATTTCGTATTTAAAGTTCGTAATGGGAACTACAGTCTATGCCAGAAAATTGTCTTTTCAGGTCTACGTCTTCGTATAGGCCCTATATATCAGTACCTCCTCGATATTATTCGGTATTTTGACTATTTTAGGTACAATATTTACCGAAAATTTTTGAAATTTCGTATGAAGTTTCTAATGGGCACTACATCCTATGACAGAAAATTGTCCATGCAGGACCAGGTCTTCGTATAGCAACGGTACCTCCCTATATTCGGTATTTTGATGATGTTAGCTACATTATTCACCGGATTTTTGTTCTCAATATTCGCATTTGAATATTGTAATGTAATGGCTTATGACAAAAATTGCCTATGCAGATCCACGTCTTCGTATGGACCCTAATATAACGGCTATATTCGGTATTTGTAATATTTTAACAGAATTTTTAACTGATTTTTTTTTTGAAATTTCCAAATTAGTTCCAAATGGTGGAGGGTATTCAAATTTCGGCCGTGCCGAACTTTCGGCTTTTTATACTCTACACCACAAGGTGGTCAGGGTATTATGTCTTTGTGCATTTGTTTGTAACAGGCAAAAGGAAACGAGATAGACCCATAGTTCCTTTTGATGATCTGCATAGATTCTGTCCATGTATTTTTGTAAACAAAGTACAGTTCGCATTTATTGTCCCATCCAGATGAAATTTTGCATAAATCATTTGTCTGGCCCAAGGACGAACCCTATTGAAATTGGAGATAATCGGTCAAAATTTAGATATAGCTCCCATATATATCTTCGTCCGATTTGCCTTTTATTGTGCACCAAAGGTGTAATATAAGTCCGAATATTATGGAATTTTGCACATACAACCAAATTATGCCTCAAAATAAGTGTGCCAAATTTGATCGAAATCAGTTCAGATATAGCTATAGCTCCCATATATATTGTTCATCCGATTTGTTAATTTTGTCCTCCGCAGCCGTAATATGCACTCTGTAAGAACAATATTTGGGGAAATGTATCAAATACAGCTCAGAAATACATTTGCTAAATTTTATCGAGATCGGTTCAGATTTGGATATAACTCCCATATATAAATTCGTCCGATTCACCTTTGATTGTGCACCAAACGTCTAATATTTGCCCAAATTGGATGGAATTCGGCACTTACGACCGAATTGAGTCTAGAAGCTAGTATGTCAAATTTGGTGAAGATCGGTTCAGATATAGCTATAGCTCCCATATATATTGTTCATCCGATTTGTCATATTTGTTACCCACAGCCGTAATATGAACTCCGTAACAACGATATTCAGGGAAATATATCAAATACAGCTCAAAAATATATTTTCCAAATTTTATCGAGATCGGTTCCGATTTGGATATTTTTATCCGATTTCAAATTAATTGTGCATCAAATGGGCAATACAAGTCCGAATTTAAAAGATACAAATGCTTCGGCATGTTTAGTCCTTTGAACTTTAAATTATGATTATAATCAAAGCGTGTATGTTTGAATTCTCCCATAAAAACTTTTCATTGTTATTCGCAGCTCTACTAAATTAGCAAAGTGGTGTAGGGTATCACAAAGTCGGCCCCGCCCGACTTTAAAACTTTCTTTACTGGTTTTTTCTTGTTTTTTTTTCAAATTATTTCATTTAAAGGCAATACAATGTCCCCCCTGTGCTATGTCTTCAACGGTCTCACATTAGTCACAACTGATAACATTCGAGTTGATCAAGTTGAGTCGAGAAATAGAAGATTATATTCATTTCAATACTACAGCGCGGTCAAGTTGGTTGTCATTCTTAATAAATCTTTGCTCACATAAAAATAAACAAATTAATTAAAAAAATAATAATAAATTTCAAATCATGCAGTTATTCACTAAACTACTGATCATAATTAGTTTGTTAGCTAATTTTCAATTGCACAATATCGCTGGTCCGTCTGCCGGATCGTATGGTGGGGGTGAGTAGAATACAAATACAAAGAACAGAAAATATTGAAATTTTCTTGGCATTATTTAATGTTTTTGGAATTTCTTAAAAAAAAACCAACAACAACAATAACGCAATAACTTAATTTCCAAGGTTTCAATTGACGTGGTTAATATTTTTCCTTCTGTCTCTTCACCCCCGCTACCACGGTTGTGGGCATTTTTCACATAGTTATGACACAACAAGTATTGGCCAATTTATGCGACAAATCCGGCGATTGGTGTTCGATGCAATGTCAAATTTTGGGTGGACGTGATGGTCGCTGCGACAAAGCGAAAATGTGCAATTGCCATCCATTGTGAGTGGGGGTACAAAAAAACGCTGCATGCCAAGGCGATTAATAGAAAGCGGAATATTATATGTACGAATTTCTTCGATGTTAGTATGTTTGTCAGTATGTATAAGTATGTGTGTTTTTGTTAAAAAATATATAAAATTTAATATTTTATTGTGAAATCTGACCTTTTCTCTTTGGTGTTGATTTTCATTCATTCATATAATAGAGTTTTTTATTGTTTTGGGGGTTTTTATTTTTTGTTTTGTTTTTTTTGGCTCCTCTTCCCGATTTCGTTTTGTTTTGGCTTACTTCTGTTTTATATTTGTGTGTGTTTGATTGTTGTTCTCTGTGTTCTAAGCTAAATCTATTCGCTTATTTAGCTGAGCATTTTCATGTGTACGAGTATTTGCATTGATTTGTGCCGCTGTTGTTGCTGTTGTGCTATGGCATACAAACCTGGAACGTTCGAATAGCGATGGATCGGTATAGATGGGCTCACTGGGATCTTCGAATTGATTGGGTCCTAAATTGGCATTACGCATTGGATTTATCACGGGCAGCTGACACATTCGTGCTAAATTTCTGGAAAGAGTTAATAAATAAATTTGCATTATTTTTAGAGGATACAATTTTAAAGAATAGGAATTAAAATAAAGCTCGGGAAAAATGACATATATCATGAAAATTGGGATGTGAGTTATAAGGTTGCTCTAAAAACTTTTGCCTAAAATCTCAATGACATTGATATATGCGATATGGCAGTGGGATAAAATATTTATAGACGATGTTTGTAAGAAATAATTTTTTATATCTTACCATAACTTCGAATTCATAAGGTTATCTGTTTTATATTTTTTGAATTTTCGGAATGATAACCTTCTAAAACCTTAGAATGAGAATATTTTTATTCCCTCCACCTTGAAAAGCTGTAACATCCCTAAATATTTTCATGAATGTATTCATAATCAGCATAAAATTCTAAGTCGATTTAGAAATGTCCGTCTGCCTGTCTGTTGAAATCACGATACAGCCCACTTTATTTGACGTAGAGCTTAACAATTTAGCAGAATAATTTGTATTGTGCCTATTGGAAATGAAATATATCGGTCCACGTTTTCCTTCTGATATACGGTATTTTGATGATTTTCGCCACATGGATTTATCTAAAAATTGGAAATGTATAAACCCATATTTTCGTATAGCCCCCATATAACTGTACCTCCAGATATTCGATATTTTCATGATTTTTGCTACATTTTCCCACGGATTTGCCTAGAAATTGGTATTTGTAGGTCATAATGGGTTCTAGCTCGAGTGGCGGAACATAGTATATATAGGTCCACGTTTTCGTATAGCCTCCATATAACGGTACCTCCCGATATTCGGGATTTTTAAGTTTTTTTTTTTTCATATTATCCAGGGATTAGTCTTGGTATTTGTAGATCTTAATGGGTTTTCACTCCAGTGGCAGAACATCTGAATATCTTGGTCCATGTTTTCCTATAACCGTTATATAATGGTACCCACTGATATTCGGTATTTTGGTAATCCTTGTCACATTTACCCATGCATTTTTTTCTAATTTGGCATTTAAGACTTCCAATAGATAACAATCCTCGTAGTATAAGGCTGTCTAAATGGGTACCCTTTTTGGAGGGCCGTATAACGGACTCACTCACTTTATTGTTGCCTTCTTTGTTGGCAACACTAGGATATAATTCGCATTCACTTCATAACACCAGCGCTATAAGTGCTCAGATTTTCTTAGTGGAAAGATCAGTCTACGGTGTGGCCTGCAGATGTACTACTGGGTTTAATTTGTTATTCTTTATTTATTTTCTAAATAGCGCTTATATTTCTTCTCCAGAGAAACCTCAACAAGATTCTTAAGGAAATTAGACACAAAGTTACAGCATATGCTGAGGACATGGATGCAATTGATTAGTAGGAAATACAATTTTCGGAACTTAAACAAAGACCTTTGACACTCAATAATGGTGATATCTATGATATGAATCAAAGGAACCGACGTCTCGAAGGCTTTCTTTAAAGTAAAGCTATATCGGTATCATTCTTGTCTAAATATTTAGAGGTATAATAGATATTTAGAGGTATATAATAGTCTAGTCTGGCGGCACATTCCAGGTAAAAAGTCCACAAAGCGCAATTTCCAACTCGAGTATATAGGGTTGTCCATATTCGACGGACCCATCTGGCAACGCCATAACTTTTGACAGAGATGTCACATCGCTTAATGACATAGCGCGTTTGAAGCGTCAGTCCAAGCAGATTTTTACCATGAACCAATACACGCCACGCGAAATAGTTGAAATTTACATTCAACAGAAGAAGTCAATTGTGAAAACTCAACGTGCTTTTAAAACATTAAAAAATGTGAGAAGTGCGCCTTCTAAGAACACCATTAAGCGTTTATACGAAAAATTTTCGACTGGTAAGGCTCTTTCTAATCCGAAGAGGCCATATAAAAGTCGACCAAGGCGATCGGCCGAGAATATCGCGGCCGTACGAGCCAGTGCTGAGAGGTGCCCAATAACATCCCAAAACGCCGTTCTCAGCAGTTGGGCATGGCTCGGTCCACTTTACAACGGATTATTCGCATTGATTTGCATTTGTTCCCGTACAAAATTCAATTGACGCAAAGAATGTTGCCTGCGGACAAGCCTCGTCGATTGGAATAGGCCCAAAGAGTCATGGGTCCGTCGAATATGGGCAACCCTGTATCAATACGTAAATTTGAAAAAAAATATAAAGCAAGATCCTTAGAAGACATAGATAATGAGTAGAGGAAGAAACTATAAATTCGGAATGGGTGTCACTTCTAGTTTAAAGAGTCCGAAAACTGGGGGTCTAAAAGCGTACTTAAAAGTACTAAATTCCAGAATGAATTTGAAGTATTTCAGGTACTCAATTCATTTTGTATGAGATATATTGTATTTCATTTTCTAATTGTTGACATTTTTTTGTGGTATTAACCAAAAGGTGTGGACCATTATATATTCCATTTTCAAATTATCTCCAATATATTGGTATGCGCAAAAATTAAAGAAAATCGGACTTTGATTTCTCGCATTAAGAGTTTATGAAAATTCACAGAACTGGGAAATTCAATATTGAACATTTTCAAAAGTTTGGACTGATATATTGGATATTTACACTGCCTCTAACATTGGGCAAAAAAATAATTGAACGGGCACTGAATTTCAATTTTACGAGAGTTGTTGTTATTCAAAAAAAAAAAAAAAAAAAAAATTGGAGTAGGTACATGAAGGGTCATTTCGTACCAGACCTAAGTCTTATATAAATATTACGATGTTCCAAATTTGAATTACCTTGGGTACTTCTCCTATTCCAGTACCACACAAAAGTTAACTTTTTAAATAATTAAACTTTAATAAAACACGAAATAATTAATAGCACATAATAATTCTCCTAATATGTGTCACTGCGTATAGATTGGATATATTGGTCCAATTTTAATTTTAAATTTAAAATTTTCAAAAAATATTTCATATATGAGGAAAGTGTGTAGAATGTTTTCCAAACTTTGGAAAACATTATTATTCCAGTACGCAAAAGTCAGTAGATTATATGGAAATATCGGCCAACTTTTTCTTGTAAATATATCTCCCACAAAAGGGGTTTCAAATTGAATAACAATTACTCTCATAAAATTAGCATATTGTTTCGATAAATATATAAAGCCACATTTTGAGAACTTTATAATATGAGGTACTACATATTGTACTATAGAATACTGGAACAATTGCGAGTGAAATTTTTTGAAATTATCAATTAAATCGTACTTTTTTGGTACCAAATAGCACTAAGTTCCAAGAAGCAGAGGTGAAAACATTTAGATGGAAATTTGCACTAAAGGGTAATAGAGTACGGAATTTGTAATTATTTTATTCGTACTTTTTGGGGTATTGAACGTACTTAAGGCCCCTAAAAAACAAACTGGTACTGAAGAACAACTGCGAGTGAATTTTTTTGAAATTATTAATTAAATCGTACCTTTTCGGTACCAAATAGCACTAAGTTCCAAGAAGCAGAGGTGAAAACATTTAGATGGAAATTTGCACTAAAGGGTAACAGAGTACAGAATTTGTAATTATTTTATTCGTACTTCTTGGGCTATTAAAGGTACTTAAGGCCCCTAAAAGACATACTGGTACTAAATACTGTTATTATTTAGGGTCTGCCAAAACTTTTTGTTTTGAAAATTGAGTGTAGCTTCTTGTGTGTTGAACGTATTCCCGTCCTGGTTACTGCAGGATGTTGTGGTTGTTCTCAATATTATCCTTTTCAATATATGTGAAGAAAAATTGACTTATTATGGTCCACAAGAGGAACGGTAACTCGAACTAAAATTTCCCTAGCTTCGGCAAGCCAATGTGGGTTTTCACCAAATAAGCAATAGTGGAACAAAATTACGTTAGATTGCGGATCATTTATTTCTATTAGAATAGTGAAACTTGTTCTACAATATATTTCTGATAAGTTTTTGTGAAATTAGATCTAATAAATTGTACAATAAATAGTTCGAAGAAGTAGAACTGGAAATCTCTAATTTAGCCTGAAACTAACTTGTGATGCGAAGGGGATTGATTGAATAAATTGGAAATTTATACTAAAAGATTGCCTAATTCGTAATTTGTAATTGCTATATTGCTATATTCGTACTTTTTGTGGTACTACTCTAAGGTAGAGCTGAAGGACAAGAGCTGTGGTTTCGAAATTTGAAAAAAAATTAACATCTCAGTATCTTTCCTTTCGAACTCCAAATATCAAATTTAAAACAATGCCTCAGAATATCTCGTGGTACCGTTTTAGGGGGGGGGGGGGGGGGGGAGAGGGGGGTGGTATACGAATGCGTGCACCTATTTACACAATTATTTGGATGGGAAGGAGGTAGCTAGTGTGAACTCAAAAATACTACCTAAGAAAAAATCTTGAGAAAATTTTGAGTAAAATCGTTCAAATACCGAATATCGGGGGATGCCTTTATATAGGGTCTATTCCGGAATTGCAAGGATATTTTACATTCGCTTGAATACATACATATTAAATAGTATAAAATGAGTGACTGATTGACCGAGAATAACGTCCAGTCGAAACGGCCTAAGCTAGAAATTTTGAACGAGGGTAAGTCACGAGGTACGTAGCCGAGTGATAAGGTTTGTGATAAGTCACTGATGGCATACATGATAGATGTACAAAAGGGTTTTAGATTAAGGTTACAAAAATTGGAAAATCGTAGTAAACTTCTAAAATGGTGCCATTTAGTATTGTGTGAACGGATAGAGCTAAAAACTTGAAACTCGGTATGAGAATCAAGGATGGAAAGCAAGTTTTATATGTGAAAGTTGGTTTATAAATGTGTACTAAATGGTACTGAAGCTGCAATTTTACGTTGGGGTCCCTGTTGGTGGTTGGTTTTTTGATAAAGAGGTGGTTTTCGAAATATGTACTACAAGAACACGAAAAATACTAAATAATACTATATTTCGTACAATTTGGGTTGGGTGAACAGATATTGCTTGAAATCTAATATTTGGTATTAGGGCGACCCTAATTCATGTGGTCTGGAGATATGGAGGTCGTTTCGGAAATGAGCCAAAAAAGTACGGAATTGTACTATTTTTCGTTTTGGTTGAGGAGATAGAGATAAAATTCTGTATATAAAATTTGAATGTGATTTGGAAATAAGACCTATATTTTTACGACAAGTACTAAATGGTACTAAATTCTATATTGGGTGAAGGGATAGAGCTGAAATCCCAAAATTTGATATTGACTTCTCTGTTGGTATCTGGTATTGAACTCTGGTGGTGGTATTGGAATGCGTGAAATAATTGTTCGAAAAGTACTAAATGTTACAAATTTAGAGATATGTAGATTGTTTCGGTGAAGGAATTTAGGTTAAGGGTTTTAGGTTAAGTTTACAAAAATTGGAAAATCGTAGTAAACTTCTAAAATGGTGCTATTTAGTATTGTGTGAACGGATAGAGCTAAAAACTTGAAACTCGGTATGAGAATCAAGGATGGAAAGTTGGTTTATAAATGTGTACTAAATGGTACTGAAGTTGCAATTTTACATTGGGTCCCTGTTGGTTGTTGGTTTTTTTTGATAAAGAGGTGGTTTTCGAAATATGTACTACAAGAACACGAAAAATACTAAATAGTACTATATTTCGTACAATTTGGATTCGGTGAACAGATATTGTTTGAAATCTGAAATTTGGTATTAGGGTCGCTGTTCATGTGGTCTGGACATATGGAGGTCGTTTCGGAAATGAGCCTAAAAAGTATTATTTTTATTTTATTGTATTATTTTTGGTTTTGGGTGAGGGGATAGAGATAAAATTCTGTATATAAAATTTGAATGTGATTTGGAAATAAGACCTATATTTTTACGAAAAGTACTAAATGGTACTAAATTCTGTATTGGGTGAAGGGATAGAGCTGAAATCCCATAATTTGATATTGAGTTCTCTGTTGATATCTGGTATTGAACTCTGGTGGTGGTTTTGGAATGTGTGCAATAATTGTTTGAAAAGTACTAAATGGTACATATTTAGAGATATGTACAACCTGTACCGGTGAAGGAATAGAGCAGAAATTTAATATTTGTTTTAATATACAGTTTTGGACAAAAAAGTTGGATTTGGGTAATATCCTAATAATATTATATCATCCTTGGTAAACTTCAAAATGAAAGACTTGAAAGAGTTTTTGGTGCAAAGCTAAACATTTTTCTATTATTCTTTCGGAAAAGGAATAACTCGAATAACATTTAAAAAATTGAAAGCCTGAGAAGTCTGTATTTTGTGTACTAAAGAGCTGTAACACGAATTGTTGTAACACATCTAAAATTTTTAGGCGGACTTTTCGCTGAGCATGTAGCGTGCATTTGCTAGTATCATTAATATCAATAATTAGTATTATGTATGAAAAAATGTATATCAAACCATAATTACCCACCCAGTGGCAAATGTCTTATGCAGTGAACCGCCAAACATAGAGACATTCGAACGGAAGGCATTTGCAGCACGATTTGCGGTGGTGACATTCGAACCGCCACCACTCGACCCATTCGGCATATGTCCGATTTCACTGAAACGTTCGTGGGTGCGTATCGACGACGAGTGGCCCAACGAATGTATTGGGGAATGACGATCAGCTATACGATTTTTAGACATTGTTTTCCAATAGCGACGATAGGCCAAACCTGAGACCAGGGTTATGCTCAGCAGTAGAATCATAAGTAAAATTATTGCTGTAATCAGGCCATGATATTCGGAGGGTGTGAGGCAAACAGTTTCCACCGGGGCAACCAGTTTACGGGGATAGGATTCATTTTCGATTTCTTCACGGCTTTCAAAGACCTGGAAGGGATAAAAAATTATAAGAAATTGGAGTAAGGAAGAGGCAAATAGGAAAATTTTTTCTATATTTTTCAAAGAAACTCTTAATTTTTTGCCAATTGCATCCTTTTGGTTTGGAATTGCATTTCTACTTGCTCCGCTACATACCTCTATCATTTCCCTAACTTGCTCGGGTTCTTCATTTTCCGCTTCCACTGTATTATCTATAAAATATTAAAATATACGTCTTATATTTCCTTCTGCCCTGTTAAATAATTTAGCTCACTTTTATTACCCTCACCCAGGGTACTGGTCACAGTGGTGCTATTCAGCTCTGTCAACTCATCGACCAAACGTTCGGCCACAGGTTCCAAGGAATCTTCAGTACTGCTAGCGACTTCCTCAGTTAGAGTCTCAGTGTCATTCAATGATCTGCGACGGCGCCCAAATGAGGGTTCTTGTCTACCGGCCGGGCCGGGGCAATAAGCCGGCTGGCAACCATCGCGACAAGTGCGCACAGTTGCCTCAAACACCAAAAAGTTGGATTCGGGAATTTTAAAGGCATTGAAACGGGCCTCTAAAGTATCGCCATCACGCAGTTTGTCCAATTCAGGAAAGACATAGGGATCCACAGGACATCTACGGTAAGATCACATATTTTATTCCCAAAACATATATTTTTTGTATGTATTCTCTTGACTTACCCAAACCGATCAATTAACTGTATACTCCTGCCCGAGTACGGATCTCGAGCCACCACATTTGTGGCAAAGATGTCTGTGGCATGATTATAGCCATCCAAAGCCTCTAGACGGAATGTCAGCGGATCGCCCACAGCAATTGTTGTCGTTGGCCTACCCTGATATAAAATACTCAACCGGACCTTTGAGCTGAGCGTATTTTCGGCTGGCAAATACTCAATGGGTATGGGGCTACCAGAACTGTTGGGATCAGAAAGACTTTATACAACATCGAATAGTTTTGAGTTGCAACAAAATGTCTGCAGTTTGAAATCCTTTTTCGCAAAAGGAAAAACGATTCCAGCTTCATTTTGTTTGCTTTCATTGGCAACTAAATACGTGGGGATTAGTCGAGAGCTACTTAAAATTAATTTACTACAGCTTAAAGTGTTTAGATATCCATGCTTCTAAGCGTAAGTCGAAGTTAACGTCTTTACTTCAAATCTACTTAAAATAAAGAGGTTGGCAACTCTAATATTCAACAAAAAAAGTCTACTTCAAATGGTAAGAAGGGAAACTACAAGCATAAAAGAAGGTTTGTGGCTTAACTAAGCCTATACCAGTTATGTACTATTTTGAGACTCCTAAAAGTATGCTCTGCAAAGTTAAAACCATACTAAATAATACATTTTTTAAAACCTCTAATTTGTTTGGCTTAGATACGATTCTAAATAGTGGAAGATAACGTTGTTAACGACTGAGGATATCTCTTCGCCTTTGGTGGATAACTTTATCAATGTTTGCGGGTAACCTTATTCATGTTTGTGGATAACTTGATCCAGGTTTGTGGATAATATATCGTCGTTTGTTGATAGAATTATCCACAGTTGTAAATAACTTTATCCACATTTGTGGATAACTGAATTCATGTTTGGGGATATCCTTTTCCGCGCTTGTGATATTTTTTTTTAACATTTTTGGATAAAATTGTCTACGTTTGTGGATAACTTTATCCACATTTGTCTATTAATTAACCCACGCTTTAGGATAATTTTATCCACATTTGCTGATAAATTTATCCACGATTGTGTTTAACTTTATCGGAGTTTGTGGATAACTTTATCAACTTTTGTGGATTATTTTATCCACGTTCGTGAATCGCTAAATCCCCGTTTATGGACAACTATATCCACTTTTGTTGATAACTTTATCCACGTTTGTGGATAATTTTGTACACATTTTTGGACAATTTTATCCACGTTTCTGTATAACGTTATCCACGTTTGTGAATAACTTTATCCACATTTTGGGGCAATTTTATCCACGTTTCGGTATAACTTTATCCACATCTGTGCATAACATTATCCAGGTTTGTGGATAACTTTATCCGGGTTTGAGGATAACTTTATCCAGGTTTGTGTGTGTTTATCCACATTTTTAGGCAATTTTATCCACATTTCTGTATAACGTTATCCACGTTTGTGGATAACATTATCCAGGTTTGTGGATAACTTTATCCACATCTGTGCATAACTTTATCCACGTTTGTGGATAACTTTAGCCACGTTTGTGGATAACTCTATCCACTTTTGTGGATAACTTTATCCACTTTCTGGGCACAACTTTATCCAGGTTTGTGGATAACTTTATCCACATCTGTGCATAACTTTATCCAAATTTTTAGGCAATTTTATCCACGTTTCGGTATAACTTTTTCCACATCTGTGCATAACATTATCTAGGTTTGTGGATAACTTTATCCACATCTGTGCATAACTTTATCCACGTTTGTGGATAACTTTAGTCACGTTGGTGGATAACTCTATCCACTTTTGTGGATAACTTTATCCACTTTAGTGGATAACATTATGCACGTTTGTGGATAACTTTATCCACATCTGTGCGCAACTTTATCCAGGTTTGTGGATAACTTTATCCACATCTGTGCATAACTTTATCCACGTTTGTGGATAACTTTAGTCACGTTGGTGGATAACTCTATCCACTTTTGTGGATAACTTTATCCACTTTAGTGGATAACATTATGCACGTTTGTGGATAACTTTATCCACATCTGTGCACAACTTTATCCAGGTTAGTGGATAACTTTATCCACAGCTGTGCATAACTTTATCCAGGTTTGTGGATAAGATTATCCACATTTGTGGATACCATTATCCATGTTTGTGGATAACTTATCCATGTTTGTGGATAACTTATCCATGTTTGTGGATTACATTACCCATGGTCGTGGACAACTTTATCCACGTTTGTGGATAAATTTATCCACATTTTTGGGCAATTTTATCCACATTTCTGTATGACCTTATCTACGTTAATGGATAACATTATCCACGTTTGTGGATAACTTTATCCAAGCTTGCAGATAACTTTATCCAAGGTTATGGATAACTTTATCCAAGCTTGCAGATAACTTTATCCAAGGTTATGGATAACTTTATCCAAGGCTATGGATAACTTATCCACGTTTGTTGATAACTTATCCACGTTTGTAGATAACTTTATCCAAGCTTGTGGATAACTTATCCACGTTTGTGGATAAATTTATCCATGTTGATGGATATCCATGGTGGATGTTCCTGGATAGCTTTATCCACGTTGTTGGATAACTTTATCCATATTGGTGGATAACTTTATCCACGTTGGAGGATTGCATAACCCACTTCTGTGCCTAACTTTATCCGTATTTTTGTATAAATTTTCCACAATTGTGAATAAGTTCGGGGATCACATTATCAACATTTGTTCCTAACTTTATCCACGTTTATGGATAAATATATTCAAGTTTGTGAATAGTTTTATCCACATCGTGGATAGCTTCATCCACTTTTGTATATAACTTTATCCACGTTGTTAGACAGTTTTTCCACGTTTTTGGATAAATTTATGCATCTTTGCGGATGACGCTCCCTGGGGCTTACTGGTCCTATCCTAATCATACTCCTCCCATACAACTACAACAAAATTTTATTTTCATGCAAAAATATAACAAAAAACAAACTACAACTCCATCAACAAAGTTCTACACATTTTGGCAAGGCCTTAACATACCCAGCTCCAATGTAACCTGAAGTTACGACAGCCTCACCGGGGCCACGGAAGACGCAAGTTAAATTATAACGTTTGTCACGACTCGTCTGGACATTGTCGGAGAATTGAACGACGACGATGTTGGTTAGGGTGTCGCCATAACGTTGGGTGCCACAGTCAGGATAACCCTGAGGGCCGCTGATGCGTAGCACATTTACTGTGCCGCCATTGCCGCGGAAGAAGCAGCTGTAAATGAAAGGAGAAACAAATGCACGAAAAGAAGAGAGAAATTATGAAAAGAAGAGAAAAAAGGAGATATTAAAAGTATAAGAAGAAGGCATTGAAAAATCTCCAATTTGCTAGTTTAAAGTTCGATGAATTTTCTCACCGATCATAGTAGCCATATGTGTAGATGCGTCCCACAAAACCCTCGGGTGTCCTAATGGTGAATTCCATGCCTTCCTCATTGCATGTTTGGGTAACTGCAAAGAAATTCTAAACTCAAATAACGGTTCTTTTTCAAAAATGTTCCTTATGCCTACCATCCATACACTCGCCATCGCTTCGGCCAGCACTGCTTCGCTCATAGAAATCATAATTGGCGGCATCGAACAAATTGGGATCATGGACGTCCAATTCACGAGAGTCACGATCACTCAACTCACAATTGGGTATATCACGCTCATCATAATTGCTTACCGCGGTGTCCCTACAAAAGCTCATAAGTTCCCATATCAAATGTCACTGTTCTGAGAGCTACTACTCACCGATAATTAAAGCTGCGACATATGAAGTCCCTCGTTTCAACACACTCTCTTTCGCATTGTATCAGCGTGGGAACGATCAAGGCCCGACGTATAAAGTGACGTCTCATCTTGTGACGTGCTGCAACCTGCTTGAAATTATCGCTCTCCTCGCAGCGGGTAATGGGAGGTCTTGGGATGCCAGGAGGTCCGCCTGGACCACCTGGTCCACCGCCATATGAGGCTGGTGCCAAAGGTGGCGGCAAAGCTCCCGGTATTGGGTGATCATTGGGCAAAGGTGTCAGTGAGCCATCACCAGGTCCTCCTGCTCCTCCTGGTCTATGATAGGGACGATTATAGGGCATGTCATAGGCATAGCCTCCGGCATTCGATATTGGACGTCGGCCAGCTGGTCTATCAAAATCACGATCATAGGGACCATAACGATCGCCATAACGCTCCTCATAGTCCATGTCGTAGTATGGTGGTGGGGGAGGAGGTGGACGATTGTAACCTAGATTGGATGTAGGAAATTTTAATTTTGGAAAATATTCTCTCTCTTCTCAAGTGATAGGCTCTAACTTGCATTAGTTCATTAATGGGTTTAGTATAACAACTCCCCCCGCCTTACCTCCTCGGAATCCTCCTGCTGCCGAACTGCCCTCGTAACGATTGCCATATTTGTAAATATCAATGGGATAACGGTCATTACCTACCGGGAAACGATTGGGCGAAGTGCCAGGTGGTGGATATTTACCACTGCCAACAGGCGGTACTAATGGTGCTGGAGGATAACGTTTCGCCGAATCGGGTTCAGGTCTTCGGGCGCCATGAACAATATCCTCTCCAGGATAACGAGCATCTGGTCCATAGCGGCCACCTGACCCAGGTCTCAAATCATCAGGATAACGAGAATCATAGGAAGAGGGTCTAAAACGGCGATCAGGGAAAATACCTTCAGGATCATCACGTCCTGTGTAGCCCCCAATGGGTTCTCTCATATTGGGATAACGTGAAGGATAACGTCCCGCATAGCGATCCTCGGGATAACGACTTCCTGGCAAGTAAGGTCTATAGGGCACATCATCATCCGGTGGATAGGGTCTGGTGTGTGGCATATCTGGTGGCAGTGTGTTGTCCTCTATCAGGGGATAACGTCCAGCCAAGGGCCGACGCATGGGAGTGTAACGATCCCGGGGTATATATCTATCCGATTCGGGATAACGATCACCATAACGATCTGATTCAGGATAACGTCCTGCATATCTATCTTTGGGAGGAGGTAGCTGATCATCATAAGGATAACGTCCGGGGCCAGGATAACGATTCATGTAGGGACGATCTCGATCGGTCAATGGATATCTGTCACGTTCCCCAGGAAAACGATCACGATTGCCAGCATAGGGATCACGTCCCCTGTCACGATCTTCAGGATAACGTTCTGGATCATCAGGATAACGATCACGATCTCCCGGCAGACGATCACGATCTCCGGGTAAACGATTGCGATCACGATCCAGGGGTAAACGGTCACGATCTCCCGGCAAACGATCACGATCTCCAGGCAAACGGTCACGATCTCCAGGCAAGCGATCACGATCTCCTGGCAAACGATCACGATCTCCGGGCAAACGATTTCGATCTGCATCCAAGGGATAACGATCATCATCATAATAACCACCCGCTGGACCACCATTGGGATAACGGTCCCGATCTCTATGGCGATCACGATCATCATAATCATCCGGGAACCTGCCAACTGAACCGCCCGGTCTAACTCCACCTGGACCACTGGCCCCAGGTCTAGAGCCGGGATAACGGTCTGCATGGTTAGTGAGTTAACAGGTTTTGTTTGTTTGTTTGTTTTAGTGAGGTTAGGTTGAGTGTGGTGAGAAAACAGTTTTCAAGGTGAATTAAGAAATTAGTTTATGTTTTAGAAAATTAAGGCTTTAAAGAATTGATAAAAAAATATTTACCATAATCAAGACCTCCCGAGTCACCAGGGTAACGATCATAGGGTGGACGTCCATATTCACCACCAGCTGAATCACCCGGCAAACGGCCACCCACACCACCGCTACCACCACCACTACCGCTGCCAGGACCATAACGATTACCACCGCCATAACGATCATCATCTTTGATGGGATTGCGCCAAGAGTTATCCACACCGGGACGGTCGGAGGGTCGATGACCGCCCACACCAGAACCACCAGATCCGGAATGGCCATCACCATCGCCATTACCGCCAACCACGTTAACTGCAAATTGAAAGCGCAATCAAAAGTGTGAGTTGTTGTATTGAAGTTGGAACAGGCAAATCGAACAATAACAACTTACGCATCAAATTTTCATAATAATCATAATCGGCATCATAAATAATCCTCATGCCATCCTTTTGGTTGTAACGACTCAGGCGACATGTTCGAAAACGATCGCTGTAGACAGCAGATCTAAGAGAGAAGACAAGGGAAAATGGGAGAAAAGTTGGTTATTACGAAATGGTAAGCAACAGCGGTACATATGTATGTGTGTAAGTATATATACATATATTATATTATATTATATTATATTATATTATATTATATTATATTATATTATATTATATTATATTATATTATATTATATTATATTATATTATATTATATTATATTATATTATATTATATTATATTATATTATATTATATTATATTATATTATATTATATTATATTATATTATATTATATTATATTATATTATATTATATTATATTATATTATATTATATTATATTATATTATATTATATTATATTATATTATATTATATTATATTATATTATATTATATTATATTATATTATATTATATTATATTATATTATATTATATTATATTATATTATATTATATTATATTATATTATATTATATTATATTATATTATATTATATTATATTATATTATATTATATTATATTATATGTGTATTGTATATATTCATTAATTTAGAAGTATCTATGTTTGTATTTTGTATGTATGTGCATAGGGAAATATATGTGTGCTTATGTGTGTCTGCGCATTCTTATATATGTTTGTATATATTGAATTTATGTATGCCTGTGTAAATATGTATGTGTGTGCGCATCCCACCTGCATTGGAAACTGGTCTGACGTAAACACTCATCCAGACATTCACTCAACGAACGCCCAGTTATTTCCGAATGAAATTCTCCTCCCAAACGTGAATTACGATATCGTTGAAATGCCGTATCAGGTCGACGTCCACCCGAGAAGAGATGTGAGGTCACGGAATTATCCGGATAGTCGGTGGCACGTTCTGAAAAAAGAAAAGAAAAAAAAAAGAAATTTTAGCAAAAGAAAGAATATAAGGAAAAGAAACAACAAAGGACAGGAAAACTCCTCTGAGAGCTTTTCTAGGATCTTCGGCAGATCTTCTGCAAAAATAAAAAAATAAAGGTCCACATTTGTGTATAACTTTATCCATGTTTGTGGATAACTCTACCCTTATTGTGGAACCACACTTGGGTATTTTATCCACACTGTTGGATAACTTTATCCACACTTGGGGATAACTTTATTTACGATTGTGGATCCCTTTTTCCACGATTCTGGATAACTTTATCCACCCTTGGAAGTAACTTTATCCAGGATTATAGATAACTTTAACAACATTTGTGGATAATACAGTCCATGTTTATGTATACCTTTACCCACGCTTGGGGATAACGGTATCCACGATTGTGGATAACTTTATCCACATTTCTGGATAAAGCTGTTTACGTTTATGGACAACTGTACATATTTGTGGATAACTTTATCCACGCTGGGGCTAACTCTATCCACATTTGTGGATAACCTTATCAACATTTGTCCATACCTTTATCCACGATTGTGGATATATTTATCCACGATTGTGGATATATTTATCCACGATTGTGGATATATTTATCCACGATTGTGGATATATTTATCCACGATTGTGGATATATTTATCCACGATTGTGTATATCTTTACCCACCCTTGGGTGTAACAACCTCCATATTTGTGGATAAAACTGTCCACGTTAATAGATACCTTTATCCAAATTTGTGGATTACTTTATCCACGCTCTACGATTGTGGATAACTTTATCCACACTTGGGGATAACTTTACCTACGATTGGGGATAACTTTATCCACACTTGGGGATAACTTTATCCACGCTTGGTGATAACTTTATCCACGATTGTGGATAAAACTGTCCACGTTTATAGATACCTTTATCCAAATTTATGGATAACTTTATCCACGCTTGGTGATAACTTTATCCACGGTTGTGGATAAAACTCTCCACGTTTATAGATACCTTTATCCAAATTTATGGATAACTTTATCCACGTTTGTGGATAACTTTATCCACACTTGGGGATAACTTTATCAACGATTGTGATAACTTTATACACACTTAGGGATAATTTTATCCACGATTGTGGATAACTTTGTCCACATATGTGGATAAAACTGTTCACGTTTATAGATACTTTTATCCAAATTTGTGGATAACTTTATCCACGCTTGGAAATAACTTTATCCACGCTTGGGGATAACTTTATCTACGCTTGGGGATAACTTTATCCACGCTTGTGGATAACTTTATCTACGATTGTGAATAACTGATTCCATGTTTGTGGATAATTTTATCCACGATTGTGGATAACTTATCTACGCTTGGGAAAATTGCTCTGAGAGCTAATGATGTTCAGTAGAACTTCTGCAAGTAAAGGCCCAATAGATAGATGAACTTTAACAGGGCTTATATAGATAGATGACATTTAAGAGGGCTTCCTTAAATAGAAGAATTGTAATACGTTTTCTGTAGATAGAAAGCCTTTGAGAGTACTCTCCATAATTCAAGATCGTAATAACGATTCTGTGGAAAGTAGACCTCTACCAAGTCTTCTATAAACAGCAGAGGTTTAACAGCGCACATATGATAGTATACTTTTAACAGGAAGAGCTTTAATTGCTCTTCAGTAGATATATGACATTTAACAGATCTTTTATCTTTAGAAGAGCTTTGACAGGACTTTTGCTTCTATAGATATAAGAGTCTTAATCTGTAGATAAAAGACGTTTAACTCCACTTTTATAAATAGAAGAGCTTAAACAGCATTTTCACCAGGTCTTTTATAGAGAGAAGACCTTTAAGAGGCTTTCTGCAGATGACTTTTATGAATTTTTAATTTACACACCTTATTTGAAGAGCAGTTCTTCTTCGAATGGCAGACTTTAATAGGTCTTAAATGATTTTTTAATGAATTGAAGAGCTTTAGCAGGTCTTCCACGTTTTTTTTCGGAGAAAAATGTTTGTGGATAGAACAACTCTGACAGATCCTTGATGGATATTAGGCTTTTGAGAGGATAGAAGACCTTTGATAGATCTTATATGAATAATGTCGTTCAACAGATTTTATATGGAAGAATACATTTAATAGGCCTGCTGTGGATACTAAGCCTGTATGGGTAGGAGACCTATGTCAAGTCACCTACGGACAGATCTAAGACATTTACTAAGATTTCTATGAATTGAGGACCGCATACAGGTTCTCTACGAGGTATATTCTATTAATTAAAAAAATCACTTCCAAACATGAACAAGTAAAAAAAAACATTAAGTTCGGCCGGCCAGACTTTTAATACCCTCCACTTTAGGGTAAAGGAAACATTAGAAGAAATGTGGCAAAAACCATTAAAATGCCAAATATATCGGAAGGTGCCGTTATATGGGGGCTATACCAAATCGTGGACCTACACATGCAATGTTTGTTGGGTTCTAGCATTATGACCTAGAAATACCAATTTTCAGACAAATCCGTGAAAAATGTGGCAAAAATCATCAAATTACCGAATATCGGGAGGTACCATTATATGGGGGCTATACCAAAACGTAGACCTATAATTTCAATGACTCGCCGCTCGAAGTGGGACCCATTATGATCTACAACTACCAAGTTTTAGACAAATCAGTGAAAAAATGTGGCAAAAACCATTAAAATACCGAATATCGGGAGGTACCGTTATATGGGGGCTTAACCAAATCATGGACCCATACATGCAATGTTTCGCCACCGGAGCTGGAACCCATTATGACCAACAATTTTTAAACAAATCCGTGAAAAAATGTGGCAAAAATAATCAAAATACCGAATATCGGGAGGTACCTTTATATGGGGGCTATACCAAAATGTGGACCTATACATGCCATGTTTTGCCACACTAACAGGGACCCGTTATGACTTACAAATACCAATTTTCAAACAAATCAGTGCAAAAATGTGGCATAAATCATCAAAATACTGAATATCGGGAGGTACCGTTCTATGGGGACTATGCCAGAACGTGGACCGATATATCTCATTTTCAATACCAACCATCCTAGACATAAGACAAATTGCTCTACTTAATTTTGGCGCTCTACGTCAAATAATGTGGGCTGTATCGTGATTTCAACAGACAGACGGACAGACAGCCAGACGGACATCGTTAAATCGACTTAGAATTTTATGCTGATTATGAATATATATATACTTTATGGGGTCTACGACGAATATTTAAGGATGTTACAAACGGAATGACAAAGTTAATATACCCTCCTTTCAAAGGTGGCAGGAAATAAAAATATATTGCCGCTACTTACGATTATCCAAACACACTAAATCATAAAAATGATGAGTGGGACTGGAACTTATGCTGATGTCATCTTTTTGTGATATGGAATCCTCTTCGGATAAAATACATTGTTTGGTCTGATCATCAAACTCCACGGAACGGCAAAAATATCTGCAAATAACAGAAAACGTGAATAATATTAACTAATTGTTTTAAAAAACGTTGTCTTCACTCACTTTTCCGCTCTCAAACACATCGTTTGACATTCTTCCAGCGTCATGTTATTGAATATATCCACTTCGAAGGGGCCACCCAATCGCTTGTTTTCTTCTTTCACAAATACGGCCAGACCATCGCAACGACGTTCGGCATTTAGACAGGTATTTTCCAAGTAATCCGAATTGGGATCATCTTCCAGTAGTTCGGGATGGGTGCGACGGGTGAATCTGGGAGAAGGTGAGACGTTTAAATGATTTTAATAAAAATATATTGGCTGGATTGTTCTTACCGACTGAGTGTACAGGATCTCATAGTGGAGTCGAAATTTGCCGAACGGCAAACAAATGAGAATTCATTGAGACATTTATCTTCACAATCTGAACGATTGGCAGCGGTTATCTATAGGCAGTAAAAATAATTAAAATATTGATAAAGGACAAATTATTTATGTTCATGGCAAATTGAAAAATGTCGATGAAAGTTGCTGATGAATGCCTGACAATGTTCGTTCGACAACCTTCCTTCGTACATATTTAGAACACAAACTGCCAATTTCCAGCAAATTCGGTTCGAAATTTTACCCAAAAAATCATAAATCTGCCGCTACAGTATATGGGGGCTATACGAAAACGTTGGTCCACGTTTTGCCAGTTTGGCCATACAATACAACACAATTTTGTAGAGGTATTTTCGATCTGTATCTGATATCTGGTACCAAAGATCATTGTTGTGGAGTGTATGAAACATATATATGGGAGCTATAGCTTTATCTGAACCAATCTTCATCAAATTTGACGTACTTGCTTCTAGACTGAATTTGGTCGGATGTGGCAAAATTCGGGTCATTTAGACTGATATTGGCCATTTGGTGCACAATAAACCAGAAATCGGATAAAGATATATGTGGGAGCTATATCCAAAACTGAATCGATCTCGACAAAATTTTAAGCACATATATCTGAGCTGTATCTGATATCTAGTACCAAAGATCATTGTAGTTGAGTGCATATTACGCATGTGAGGGGCTTAAAACTCCAAATCGGATGCGATAGATATATGGGAGCTATAACTATATCTGAACCGATTTTCTCCAAATTTGATGAACTTGCTTCTAGACTGAATTCAGTCCGATATGCCAGGTCATTTGGATTGATATTGCTCATTAGGTGCACAATTAGCCCGAAATCGGTTGAAGATCTATATGGGAGCTATATTTAAATTTGAACCGATTCTCACTAACTTCAATAGGGTTCGTCCTAGGCCAAATAAATATTTTTTTGGAAAATTTCAATAAAACATGGACAGACATGCATAAATCGACTCAGAAAGTGATTCTATGAAGCGTAGCCTGACGTCAAGGAAGTGGCCGGAAGAAAACGGAAACATCAGCAGAAGTGGTTCGAAAGATAAAGAAGCGACTTGATCGAAACCCGATCGAAATGGCTCGTAAGCTCAACATATCGCAATATTCCATTCGGCATATATTGAAAAATGAGCTCGGGGTAAAGCCATTGAAATTCCAAAAAGTGCAAGAACTTACACCGCAACAGAAACAAAATAGACTCAAAAGAGCTAAAGTGTTGCTTCGCTTGGCCGAAAGTGGTGAACTGCCGAATTTGATTTTCTCCGATGAGAAACCATTCATTGCCCAGAAACCAAAATGATCGTGTTTACTTGCCAAAGAGGTTAGCTGAAAATGTGCACCTTCGGTTGGCCACCAGAACTCAAGCGCCGGCCATGGTGATGGTGTGGGCCGCCATAACAGCCGATGGTCGCTCTCCGCTCGTATTAATCGACCGTGGCATCAGAATAAATGCTGAATATTATCGCGAAAATATTCTGGAGGGTGTATTGAAGCTTTGGACACGCAAACATTTTGGACGCAGACCTTGGACACTCTACAATGTTACAAAATGAGGTTCCTCGCTTCATTTCCAGCGCTCAATGGCCACCAAAATCTCCGAATACCAATCCGTTGGACTATTGTGTCTGGAATATTTTGGAAAGCAAGGTTGGCACTAAAAAATACCCAAGTGTCGATCACCTCAAGCAAGCGCTTCGCCGGGAATGGGTCAAAATATCGCAGAACAACATTCGGGTAGCGTGCTACGGTTTCATTGGCCGTTTGAAGGTCATAATTCGTGCCAAAGGTGACCAATTCGAACAAATCTAAACTTATTCTAAAATTTGATGCTATTTCCGACATTTCTTGCTTTCATTCAATAAAACTTAGAAAAAAATGTAAAAATTATGGCGTTTGACTTTGTTCCAGTTTTTTTATTTCACCCTGTATATAAGTAAATGTTCTCCATATTTATTTTCTCAACAGTCCTACTTTTAGGTTGAATTCGGTTTAATGCCTAAAATCGTATTTATTAAAACCTACATGAAATATGAGGATGCTATGTAAGGGAGCTATATCTAAATCAGAATCGGTTATCACCAATTCCAATAGAATGGAACCTATTCAAGTTGGCAATATGACTGTTGCACAGGGCCTATGTTCTGTGAATTTTATAAAAGAAAATCCATGTTTGGGTCTGCCTACAACATATAGGGTTAAATTTGTCCTTGTCGCTTGAATTAGGAGTTTTCCAAAATAAATAGCTCTCCTCTCATAAATCTCCCAATGTCATTTTCTCAAAGCTGTGGAAATTTAATTTTATATTTCTGTGCAAATACAAATCATTAAATTCCTTTTGCAAAAAAAAATTCTCATTGACTTTCAGATTATTGTACGATTATCTACGCCTGTCGCCGTGGCCTACTATGTTATAAATCAATCCGATACCAGCGAATTAAATCAAAAACAAAACTCCATTAGCAATTCCAAAAACAAGAAACAAAAAAAAAATGAACGCAACACCATCAAAACACTCATCATAGGTGTAGATTAGCCATCAACGATAATTTCCCCAAGACGAAGCTGCCGCTCGTCGTTGTCATTGCCATTTGGAAAGAAATGCCATAATACCTACCTCTTTAATGTCCGATATTGGCAATTTAAGTTTCTTGCGAGGATGACGTTCGAAAACATAACGGCGACTGGGACATTCACGCTCGGGACGGCTAGCTGTATTTTAAATGAAGCAAAAAAAAAAAAAAATAATGAAAGAAATTACAAAAACAAACATCACTTAAATACAGGCCATTCCCGAAGCTTGGTCGGGGACGGCACAATCATCAGCACCGCTATCGAAATCGCTTGATTACTACTTACATGTCAGACAAATCTCATTGAAGTGTACACTGTTTGGCACCAGCATTAAACTGCCAATACCTTCGGGTCCGGCCTGTTCCGATGTCAAATAGCACAGCGACTCTTCGTACTCCATGTTGCCACCGAACGCTGTAATGCGACTGCCCGGCTGGAAATCGAAACTGGTGCAGGTACGCACCAAATTATTGGTGCCAGTGCGATCACGCAAACATAAATCCTGACATTTCTCGAGAACGCGAAAAGGCGGTGCCGTGTCGCGTACCACATCGTCATCGTAGCCTTGGAGCTGTTGGTTTGGCAGGCGTTCGTAGAGAACACGTCCCAGGCCATTCTTGCAAGTGGTTTGTGCTGCAACAACCACAACAACGACAACAAGAACAACATTATTATTAATACATCATCATTTTCGTGGGCACTGGACGCTGGATGATAAATGCAATGCCGGCCATGGCCAGGGCCATTACTTACCATAAATCTCTTGGAAGCTTAAACTAATGATGGATACGACTAATAGAATTATGCCGGGTTTCGTTTTGGGTTTCATGGTCAGCGTTAGCGTCATCATCAACATTGTGTTGTGTAATGTGGTTTTCTGTTGTTGTTGCTCTTCTCTGCTCTGCTCCTTATCTAGAATACCTAACGTGGAAATGCAGGAGAAGTAGCAAAAAAAGAAAGGTTATTGAATTTCAAATGAGTTTTGTCTTTGCTGTTGTTCTGATTTACTTTTGATCCAGCCTTTAGATGAATTTGCTGGATAGGAATTCGGTTCTGTCTGTCTCCGGGTTGTTATCGCAGAAACATGATTTGTTTTTTTGGTAATCGCAGTTGCCTTGGTTTTTTCTCTCTTGCAGCAATCTATGCCGATACCACTACTGCTGCTGCCCCGCTGCCTCTGAAATCAATTTTTGATAAATAAATAATTGCATTTCCTTTTTGTAGGTTATCAAATTATAGATGGAAAAATGTCTGCCAATAAAAAATTGTTGCCAATCTTAACAAATTTTTCTGTGGTTTTTGTGGGTGCTCCAATTTTGATTGCTACGATAATATGAAAATTGGAACACCGCATAATTTTTCGATGTTATGCGATTAGGTTTTAGAGAACATTGTATCATTAGAACATTTGATTTGCGAATATTATAGAAATGTTGATCTGGTACATTTTATTAAAAGGACTACAAAAACCTTCACCTTTTGTGCCGAATTAGGAAAAAAATAATAACTGTGTTGTATTGTGGTTCATCTAAGGTTCCAATGCCTTTGGTTTTTCTGGCTCACTTCGAAAATTGATTTTATTACGGTAATTATAGAGAAAATCCGAGTTTCTTGCATTTTCAATTGTAAACCCCTAGTTAATTAAAAACTCTCAAATGTTTTTTTTCCAAAATGAGAGCTTTTTTTTGACTTTTGTGGGAGTTTTTAGTAGAGCTCCCGTAACAAAAAAATTTATTTAAAGTAGATCATACCACCTATCAACATTTGGCTTTAGAGCAGTTATAGATTGGTTTCAGAGGGAACTAATATTTGGGAGGCTTATCCAATTCTGAATCGATTTTCACTAAATTTGACTAAGACATTTTAATCTTTTATACCAAATAACATTGCTATAGGGTGGATGAGAAGGATTATATAAAAATATACATCGGAACCGAGTTCCACAAAATGGAAACGTACGACTTGAAATTCACTCCATTTGCGGATTAAGGATATATATGGGAGCTATTTCCAAATCTTAGCCGTTCTCGTGAAAATTTGACAAAGGTATTTCTAAGCTCTATAAAATATCTGGTACCAAATATCATTGTTATCGAATGCATATTGCGAATGTGAGGGACTTTAACACCAAATCGGATGAAACATATATTTGGGAGCTATAGCTGAACCTAGAATAAATTCGGTCGGATGTACCAACATTTAGGAATTTTTGAAAGATATTGGCCATTTGGAGCAAAATTAACCCGAAATCGGTTGAAGATATATATCCAAATCTGAACTAAACTTGATAAAATTTGGCAGAGATATTTCCGAGCTCTACCAAATATTATTGTTGTGGAGTGCATATTATGCATGTGAGGAACTTAGAACCTCAAATCGGGTTAAACATATATATGAAAATCGGTTCAGATATAGCGATAGATATCTGAACCGATTTTCGCCAAATTTGAATTACTTGTTACTAGACTGATTTCGGTCGGATGTGTCAAAATTCAGGTGATTTGAACTGATAATGGCCATTTGGTGTACAATTAACCCGAAATCGGATGAAAGATATATATTGGAGCTATAACTATATTTGAACCATTTGAAGTACTTGTTTCTAGGCTGAATTCGGTCGGATGTGCCGAAGTACATCCTATTTGAACGGTGAGATAAAAAAAAACTGCAACAAAGTCAAACGCCATATTTTTTGATTTTGTTTTTAAATTTTATTGAATGAAAGCAAAAAAATTCGGAAATAGCTTTAAATTTTAGAATAAGTTTAGATTTTTTTCGATTTGGTCACCTTTGGCACGAATTATGCTCTTCAAATGACCAATGAAACCGCTGCCCGAATGCTGCTCTTCGGTATTTTGGCCTATTCCCGGCGAAGCGCTTGCTTGAGGTGATCGACACTTTGTTATTTTTTTAGTGTCAACCTTGCTTTCTAAAATACTCCAGACACAATAGTCCAACGGATTGGTATCCGGAGATATACATTGTGCACTGGAAATGGAGCGAGGAACCTCAATTTGTAACAATTCTTGGGTGGCGCGTGCTGATTGCGATGGTGCTGAGTCCTGTTGGAATGTCCAAGGTCTGCGGCTAAAATGTTTGCGTGCCCGAGGCTTTAATACACCCTCCAGAATATTTTCGATATAATAATCGGCATTTATTCTGATGCCACGGTCGATTAATTTGAGCGGAGAACGACCATCGGCTATTATGGCGGCCCACACCATTACCATGGCCGGTGCTTAACCTCTTTGGCAAGTAAACATCATCATTTTGTTTGTTTACAAACTGCTGGACAACGAACCTTTTCTCATTGGAGAAAACCAAATTCGGCAGTTCACCACTTTCGGCCAAGCCAAGCAACTCTTTAACTCTTTTGAATCTATTTTCTTTCTGTTGCGGTGTAAGTTCTTGCACTTTTTGGAATTTCAATGGCTTTACCCTGACCTAATTTTTCAATTTTTGCCGAATGGAATAGTGTGATATGTTCAGCTCACGAGCCATTTTTCGGGCACTGCGACGTGGGTTTCGATCAAGTAGCTTCTTTACTTTTCGAACTATTTCTGCTGATGTTGCTGTGTTCTTCCGTCCACTTCCTTGACGTGGGGCTACGCTACCAGTATCACGGTAACAAGCGATGGTACGAGACACAAAAGATTTATTCACATTTAAATGTTGGAGTGCTCTAACGATAGCCACTTGTGGGTTTCCAGCCAAATATAAAGAAATCACACATTCGCGCTTGAATTCCACGACGAATAACTTTTTTTCTGGAAAATTCTCACCAAAATGCTTTTGTACGCCTGTAAACTATATAATGCGCTACCACTGGAAAAATTTAAAGAGCTGTCGGACGAGAGGCTTAGAAATGACAGCAGTCTGAAGTTAGTTGCAATTTTTTCATCTCGTCCTATATGGGAGCTATTGATATATCTGAACCAATTTTCACCAAATTTGAAGTACTTGCTTCTGGACGGAATCCGGTCGGACGTGCCAGTCAATTTGGGCTAATATTGGAAATTTGGTGCACAATTAACCCGAAATTGGTTGAAGATATAACTAGAAGCTATATCTAAATTTGAACTAATTCTTAATAAATTTCAATAGAGTTTGTCCTTGGGTCAAACAAATATTGTTTCGAAAATTTCATCTTAATCGGATAATAAATGCAACCTGAATTTTGTTTACAAAAATACAGGACGGACGGAATGACATGCATAAATCGACTCAGAAAGTGAGAGATCCTCAAAAGTAACTATGGGTATATCTCGCTTCCTTCTCCATGTTACAAACAAATACATAATACCCTTAGCACTATGTGGTGTAGGGTATAAAAATAATAAAATTTGCAAAGTAAAGTAAATTTTGACTTCAGTAATCGCAAACTCTCAATACAACCTTACAATATTTCGACTGTCTTGAAAAAAAAAAAAAAAAAACAAAATAGTAACTTTTCATGACAGAAATCTTACAAATATTTTTTGGTTCCTGAAGTTGGTTATGAGATGTAGATTGGTAGATTCAGATTATTTTTTTTTTTTTTTGAAATCTAAACAAAAAAAGTTAGGGGAACTATTCTATGCCGGAAAAGTCTTGCAATAAGTGGTTAGTCACTTTAGCAATCAAATTGCTGTCTGCCATCAAAATTAGGAAATATAAATACTTGTAACTTTTTGTAATACAATGCTAGTTCGTAGACATACACAAGGCCATGAGGCGGTATAATTGCTAACCAAATTTCCATCTAACCTAATATTCAAATAAAAAATAAAATTTTATGTATTTCACCACTAATTGGAGATTTTCCAAAAACTATTAAAGCCATCAGCAGCAAATCCATGTCAATTCAGCAGAAATAATTGATGTTTTTTTTTGTGATTTTTGGTCAAAACTAAAACGCTTCAATTCCATTGACCTTAATATTTGTGATTTGGGGGGCGATTTTCAGCTGGCGGTGGGTGGAGAAACACCAAAAATTCTATCGTTGACTATTTTATTTTGAAATTGGAATTTGAAATGAAGTTCATAAAATGTGGCCATGCGTAAAGTGCGGTCGGCCGGTCGTTGAATTGTGACAAACTATTCGTTTTTGTTTGGTTTGGTTTGGTTTGGAGATTGATTAAGGCGACACATTCAGATAAGCCTTTGCCACCTTCAAATGTCACTTGTTGGACCAAACGAACAAACTGAAAAAAAAACGTGTAGCACTTGTTGGGGGTTTTGGTCTTAATTTACATACGTTTTTACCACACATACACACACACACGTAGAGAGACACCTGGCCGAGTGCTAGATGAGGGTGGGGGTGGCAAATTATTAACGCAAAATCTGATTTCAACACCGGATGTTGTTTCCGGTTCTTTGTCACTTTACTGTCGTTGTTGGAGTTTTTATGGTTTCGGCCAAAATCGTTTTGTTGTTGTTGCTGTTGCGTTGCTGTTTTTTCTTTCAAAACATTAATTTGTTGTTTTTGTTCTATTTTGTAGATTTGAAATGAAAAAATTCAATCGCCACCAGTTAACTTTCATCCCAGACTTGGGTTTGATTTAAACTGTTCTAAATCCCAGCAACAAATTCGAAATTTTGTAGAAACCTTTTTTTTTTGTTGTTTTTGTAGTTTTGAAGTCTGGCATTGGCATTCGTTTCATCTCGATTTCCATTTAAAAACAAACTATTCTCTTTCTCTCTCCCTGAGTGCTAAATTTTTGTTTTTGTTGCTATTGTTGTATGTCATTAAATATTCGCTTTAAATTGTTATTTAAATTATTTATTTTGAGATTTCCAAGTTTGTTGTTATTGAGATTTTTTATTGCGGTTTTGCATGCGGTGACTAAAACCTGGATACATTCAGGCGAGAGAATTCACAAAAAAAATTCAAAATATTGTTATAGGGTGCATAAAATTAAAGCGGAGAGTAAATCGTATCGAAATTATTTTAAGTTAACCACAAATGTTTGAGTTTTTATCTATAAGGGACAATAACTAGGAATGTCTACATGAGTTGGATAAAAAATAAACCAGTCATGATGCTCCTGAACGTACATTTTCGGGGAATATTTGCTGCCATGAAATGAGACAGAAATTTTGATGCCTTGGCGCCAAATTCCAGTTTCAAATATTGAAGTCCCAGAATTGTAACTAGAAATGACTAAGACATTACGCTTCCTAAGTTCATTGTTATTTGCGCCTGTTTTGTACGCCGATAGAAATGTGAATTCGAAAGAACAACACCATTCCAAAAAAACATTCAAATATTAGATTTTTTTTAGTTAAATCCATAATTTTAAATACATTTCTGGAATGATGTTTTCTTTGAATTCACACTCCTATCGACAAACAAAAAGGGGAGCTCAATCATATTCATACAACATAGGATACAAAAAAACCCTGTTCTTTCTAACTGGGTTACATACCAAGATTCGGCTTTGCTTTCCTGGATACAAATATGACGCTCTATTTCATTAGGTATGTACGATAACCCAACAATCATGTGGGAGCAAATTTGACCGTTGAGTTACTGAGATTTTCTAAACTTTTTATAAACTCCACCATAGTATGGAGGATACATTTAGTTTGTCATTCCATTTGTATCACCTCGAAATACACATTTTAGACCCCACAAGGTATATATATTCTTGATCAGCATAAAATTCTATGTCGATTTAGCGATGTCCCTACGTCTATCTGTCTGTGGAAATCACTCTAGCTTCCGAACAAATTAAAGTAGATTGATAAAATTTTACTCAAATGTATGTTATGTCTGCAGGACTTTTGGTATTGAAAATGGACCATGTAGTTATAACCCCCATATGATGGTACCTCCCGATATTCGGTATTTTGATTTTATCTACATTGTTACCGATTTTTTTTTTAAGTTTCGCATTTGAATATTGTAATGGCTTATGACAAATTATATATCGTATAGACCCTAATATAACAACTACATTCGGTATTTTTTAAAATTTTAACAGAATTTTGAACGGATTTTATTATTTTTGAGAATTGCCAAATTCGTTCCAAATTGTGGAGGGTATTCAAAGTTCGGCCCGGCCGATCTTACAGGTTTTTACTTGTTTAGTACTCAAAATTCACATTTTTATCAGTGTGACGATTTTTTTTGTTTATAAAAACTTCATACATCGTGCTAAATTTTCAGACATTCAAAATTTTTTATTTTGACGTTTACCGAGGATGATATTAGCATAACAGTTGCAAAATGGACCCACAACAGATTTTTCTGTTGAAAATTGTTTCAGCGTCTCGACATGTAGACCCTAGAAATCAACAGTGACCTCAATATGATATTTCAGCATTTATTATACTTTTCGTATAATATAAGTAGTCAAAACTATTACATATCTCAATCCTAGATAATGACATCTGTATCAAATTTCAGAATTTTATCTCTATTCCCAATACCAAATAGTAAAGAAAGTCCTAAAGTCGGGCGTGGCCGATTTTATGATACCCTACACCACTTTGCTAATTTAGTTGAGCTCCACTTAATAATTAAAAGTTTTTATGGGAGAATTCAATCATACACCCTATGATTATAATTATAATTTAAAATTCAAAGAACTAAATATGACGAAGCATTTGTATCTTTTAAATTCGGACTTGTATTGCCCATTAGGGAGCTGTATCCAAATCTGAACCGATCTCTGAGCTGTATTTGATATATTTCCCTAAATATCGTTGTTATGGAGTGCATATTACGGCTGTGGGTAACAAATACAACAAATCGGATGAACAATATACATGGGAGCTATAGCTATATCTGAACCGATCTTCACCAAATTTGGCATACTACCTTCTAACTCAATTCGGTCGTATGTGCCGAATTCCATCCCATTCGGGCGAATATTAGACGTTTGGTGCACAATCAAATGTAAATCGGACGAAGTTATATATGGGAGCTATATCCAAATCTGAACCGATCTCGATAAAATTTAGTAATGGTATTTCTGAGCTGCATTTGATATATTTCTCCAAATATTGTTGTTACAGAGTGCATATTACGGCCTCGGGGGACAAAAATAACAAATCGGATGAACAATATATATGGGATCTAAAGCTATATCTGAACCGATTTCGATCAAATTTGGCATACTTGTTTTCAGGCCTAATTTGGTTGTATGTGCAAAATTCCATACTATTCGGGCTGATATTACACGTTTGGTGCACAATAAAAGGCAAATCGGACGAAGATATATATGAGAGCTATATCTAAATTTTTACCGATTATCTCCAATTCCAATAGGGTTCGTCCTTGGGCCAAACAAATGTTGTTTGGAAAATTTCATCTCAATCGGATAATAAATGCGACCTGCATTTTGTTCACAAAAATACATGGACAGTCGGACGGACGGACAGACGGTCTGACATGCATAAATCAACTCAGAAAGTGATTCTATGCAGATCATCGAAATGAACTATGGGTCTATTTCGTTTCCTTTTGCCTGTTACAAACAAATGCACAAAGACATAATACCCTGACCACCTTGTGGTGTAGGGTAAAAAAATTGTCCCATTCAGTACTTTTAGACACCAATGTCAAACTTAAGGATTTCCACTCAATACCTTTACGAAACTTAGTACCTTTCGTACAGTTATAGTACACATTTCAAAAGCCACCTCAATATCAAATTTCAGGAATTTAGCTCTTTTTCTTCCTTTATCCAAAACCAAATTTAGTACTATTTAGTACTTTTCCTACAATTGTAGTACATATATCCAAAACCACCTCCGTATCGCAATTCCAGATACCAACAGATACCTCAATATCAAATTTCAAAATTTTATCTCTATCCCTTCATCCAATACCAAATATAGTACCACTCAGTACTCATTAAAGTAAACATTTCCGCAACCACTTCCATATGTTGATGAGAATTTGGCTGGAAAACTACAAGTGGCTATGGTCAGAGCACTCCAGCATTTAAATGTGAATAAATCTTTTGTGACTCGTACCACCGTGATACTAGCCCGACGTCAAGGAAGTGGACGGAAGAAAACAGCAACATCAGCAGAAATGGTTCGAAAAGTAAAGAAATGACTTGACCGAAACCCGCGTCGCCGTGGCCGAAAATGGCTCGTTAGCTGAACATATAGCAATATTTTATTCGGCAAATATTGAAAAATGAGCTCGTGGTAAAGCCATTGAAATTCCAAAAAAATCAAGAACTTACACCGTCTGTACGTCAGTTGTAATCACGCTAGAGTTAAAAACGAATAATAATGGGAATCTAAAATTTTGCACAGATCAGTCTTTTGTCTGCAGGCAGGTCAAGTTCGAAGATGGGCTATATCGGTCCCCGATATCGTGTAGTTCCCATATAACGGTATTCAGTATATGGGATATTCGGTATTTTGATGATTAGTTTCTTCTAAGTACTTTACTCCCTGAAAGATTATTGTCTGTATAGGTCCACGATATCGTATGTAGCCATAACTCAAACAATATCGGTACTACCCGATATTCCGTATTTTTAAGATTTTAGCTACATTTTTTTATGGAATTGTCTAAAATGTTTATATAGGTCCACGATATCGTATAGCCCACATACAGCGGTACACCCCGATATTCGATGTTTTGACGATTTTAGGGATATTACTTATCGGAGTTGTTTCAAACTTCGTATTTAGAATTCCTAATGAGAAATAGAGCCTATGACAAAAAAAATTGCGTAATGCCCCCATATAACGGTACCTCCCGGTATTCGGTATTTTTATGATTTTAGCGACATTATTTACCGGAATTGTTAAAAAATTTGGTATTTGAAGTTCGAAATGGATACTGCAGCCTAAGAAAGAAAACTGTGCAGGTCAACGTTTTGGTATAGCCCCTATATAATAGTACCACTTTATATTTGGTATTTTGATGATTTTAGCTACATTATTCACTGGATTTTTTTCAAGTTCCGTATTTGTATATCGTAATGGCTTATGTCAAAATTTGCCTATGCAGGTCCACGCAGGACTTATAAATATCGGCTAAATTTATTAATATTTAGAATTTTTAACTAATTTTATTTATTTATTTTTTTTTTGAAAATATCCAAATTCTTTCATAATACTGGGGAATATTCAAAGTTCGGCCAAACTTAATGCTTTTTTACTTGTTTTTAACTTAAATAGTTGTATTTTTGATTTTCTACTGTCTTGCAAAACAAAAGTAATAAGGGGTGCTTTTTGGTTTTTCAGTCCAGGGTTTTGTATGGAGATCCCATATATACCCTGTAATTTGATATTTGCTCATAGAAAAAGATAAAGGTAAAAAGGATATTTCTGATTCTAAGAGTCAGGGAGTGAAAGAAATTGTCTGTGAATTCGAAACGTACCCTTTAAGAGATATATAACTCGACTTTCAAACAAATGTACTTTTGGTATTGAAATTTGTATCTCGGAATCAATATTGCTATCGTAGAGTTTTAGATGTATTCCACCCCAAAAGTATGCAACGATTCACAAAGTTTTTGTTCTGATTTTCAAATTCGCGTCTAAGTCGAAAATTTGATTATAC